AAGAAAGAAGGCCAAGGCCGCCGAGAAGGAGGACGGCGAGGAGGAGGAGGATGACGAGTAGATTAGTTTAAAAAAGGAACGGTTCAATGTTCAAAGGCTAGGGCAGACAGATGGGGGTGTTTGTTAGTAGGCACTCTTGATTCTTTTCAACGAAAAAGGTCTTGTCCCCCAGAAATGGCGCATTCCCAAGGCGAAATGGATTGATTTTTACGGATCCTCTTTCTTGTTTGCACTCACGATAGTTGTGATCATCATCCAATGCAACGCTGGCATCTCACATACGCCATCTTCTCTCTATAACCCCTTCGTACGCGTAAACCATGGTCTCTCGTGCATGCTCCCCTGATGTGTCCAACCTTGTTCACCGCTATTTCGACGTAGTTGCTCATCTCACGGTAGAGTAGATTTTCTGCTTCAAGAAGGCAATTTCTACCTAACTGACATGGCTTCTCTGCTGCATCATCAACTGCTCTACCACATCGGCTTCACTCCTTTTCGGCATCATCGTATTCTCTCTGCTTTCCTCAATTGTAAATGTGATTGGAATACAAGGAGCCATCTTCTTAAACCATTGATTTTCCCTTGCATGTTACGACGCGTATGGCAAAGGCCCATACTCTTTTCCTCTTCCCTAGGCTCTCTTTCTTCGTCATTTTTCTATATGTTTGTAAAATGTAAATGTGAAAACTGTGCCTCTGCTGCGCGATCTACCCTAGAGTGCCGCCATTCTCTCGTCTCAATTCCCACGTAGCAGGATCTCCCCTTGGCAAACTTATCAATGAATGTACTCAATTTTTAAAATAAGATTCGATATCTAAGAGCTGGCGATTTCCTGTTCCTTGATTTTCTTTTGGCTAAGACATGAGACGAAGTAACTTATGTCCTGTGCATGCTCACTTCGACGCCGTCTAACAATATTAATTAAGAGTATATTTTAATCTCGAGCCACAGTCCCTCATTATTATATTTTATTCTATTTAATCGGGATACATGATCTGGCCAGGCTCAATCAGGTCCTCCAATTGCCCCTTATTACTCCGCTTGCTGCAATGTACGTTTAACTTCATCGGGATGCGGGAGCTGGCCAGCCTCGATCAGGCCCTTCAACTCGTCCTTGTCACTCCACCTCTCGTAGCATTCCAGGTACTCCTCACCGAGAAACTCTGCAATCGGGCGGGCCAGATCGTGGCCGAGCCTGGCGTACACGTTCCGATCCAGGGTTCCGGTCCACCGCTCCATCCCGGGGGGGTAGAAGCCAGCGTACTCCCAGTCGATCAGCGCCGTGACTTGGAGGGTATCGGGGTTCACGATTACGTTGTGGGCCCCGAGGTCGCCGTGCTGGAAGACGTACTCGGGCTCCTCTCGGGGGAGAGTCTTCCACCGCTTTATGCCCTTCCACGGAGGCTGGGCGTCGGGACTGAGCCAGCGGGGGGGCATGACGAAACCGTCGATGCCTCGGGTATGAGACTTCAGCTTTGCGAGCTGCGGTAGGACAGTTGTGTTGACAAAGTCGACGGCGTTGGAGTGCGCCTGGTCGAAGCACTGCTGGCAGGGCACGCTTCCGCCTTGGTGGCTCTGCCCTAGTGGCCGTAGGCAGCCCCGGCGTTGGATCTCAGACAGAGTGAGTCCCTCGATGCGCTCGGTTATGAGGTATCGGCGGCCGTCTGGGTGCTCTCCATGGTCAATCAGTCTCGGCAAGGGGATTGTCGTGTTCTGGGATACTAGCTCCATGGCCTTGGCTTCATTTGTAATGCGTTCGTGGTTCCTGTCGGGAATTTTGCCGGTGGTTAGAAATGGACGGCCATCACACTTGGGTTATCATGGCGCTTTTCTCACCATGACCTGAACCACTTGAATATAGTTCCATCCGGCCTGGGGTGGTCTACAGTAAGACGAGAGGTCTTCCGGAATGTTGTGGTGGTGAATTCGTATGCTGTGTCTTCGGTTTGGTAGGCATGCGATGGCAGAACCCGGGCCACTATGGTACGAGGTGGTCAGTTTAGAGCTCGGGGGAATCAGGTTGAAGATTGGAAACAATTAAAACGAAGCTCACCTTCCGACTTGGAGAAGGGGCCTTCTGCAGGTTCAGCATCAGACGAGCCGTCTACACCGTTGCGCTTGCAACGGCGGTCTGGCGTCTCAAACGGACTGCGTTCGTCTGCCCCGCGCGGCGGCGTGAAACAGCCTGGCCGTGGCTGTGGGTTAAGCATGTCCCTGGGCGTTGGAAGCTGCAGCAATTGGGAAGCCTACAGATTGCTGCACGTCAGGTGTTGACGGGAACCATCCATGGGAAAGCAGAATTGCATTTTGCAACAGAGGGCACGAGGGTCTTCATGGAGACGTCCAATGACTTGTTGGGAGCTCACGAAGACCAGCCTTGTGAAGTTGTGCAACTCTTGTTCATGCGGGCTTAGTCATATGGATTGAAAGGGTGAGACAGTTACTGCCGTTTTCTCGCGTCGCACGGTAGCTACAGCCATGGAACTTTCAATAGATGGAGGCCACGATCAGTGTCCCGTATTTAATAACGCTGCTGATGAATGTGACGAGCTGTGGGCGGTCTAGCTGAGTGGTGTCAGGTAATGTGGCTGTGGGATGCAGGAGTCTCCTCCCCCGCTTTGACCTATAAAAAGGGGCATGTGATCAATGCGCACCGTCATCTCTCTCTCTCTCTCTCTCTCTCTCTCTCTCTCTCTCTCTCTCTCAACCAACAGCGAAAATACCATCTTTAGGCGTCACACCGAATGGTACGTGGTAAGTTCCATTATCAAATGATCAACAGTTAGGTTGTTTTTCGTTTACTGAGATGAGTGACATACCCTGGACGCACTACAAGCGGCTAAGGGTGGATGGTCTTGCCATTGACTTTTCGTTGGAGAACCGCCCGCTCGCTCCTGCCACCTGCGGAGGCCCAACGCCCAATGATAACAGGGCGGAAGGCACATACCCGCGAGAAGGCGGCCCGCCAAGTACCCTGCAGTTTGCGTAGGCGACTTGGACAAGCGAGAACCAGGCATGACTCCGCGGTCAAACGCTCCATCAAGCACCAAACGCTGGCCAGAAAGGCCGCCATTGCCTTGGGATATGTAGGAAACCGGAGCTTGTTGTGTCTGACCCACCTACCATACTAGGAACTACGCGAGGCTCAACGAGATTCTCGATATTTTCCCTTCGCCGGTTTTCTACAAAAGGAAGAGAAACTTTATTCTCTTTCTCTTCCTTCTGTAGAAAACCGGCAAAGGGAAAATATCGAGACCTTCGCCGAGCCTCGCGTAGTACCTAGTATGGTAGGTGGGTCAGATAGAAGCTCCGGACCCGGCGCCGGGAAGGCAGCAGGGGATACTCTCCGTAGATGAGGAATTTGTAACTGCATCGCTGGAGGGTCTTCTTTGAATATACGAGTCTGGGTAACATGTGTGTCCGTAAGAAGTGTTGCCTTCGTATTCCGTGACCACTCAGTCGACCTCTTGGGTTGCTGGGAGGTCTTGCATGCTGACGAGAGGCTCCTTCCTCGGCCAGAACTTGGGACGAGGTGCTCCACCCCGGCCCCACTCGAAGAGACCTCAGAGGCGAGAGAACTTCTCTTTACTTGGGTTTGGGAAGCTGCGGACGTTGTCTGTTGCCTTGCTCTTCTATGAGGGAGACCTGGTAGGCATACGGCGTTTTGTCAAGGCCCATCCTCTCTCCCCATCTTCTCTCCCCATCCTCTCTATCTCCTTTCACGTCGTATTCTATCCTCCCCGACTCTACATGGCCAGCTAGGCAAGTTCCTCCGTGAGTTGACGTCTCAACATCTCTTGACGTGCTAGAGTTCGACTGAACAGCACTTTGGCCGGTCCATCTTCAAACTTCAACAAACTCTCCTTCTGACAGCTAGGGAGATGGAAGATGCCCTTGATCAAACTTGGTCTTTCCCTGGGTAGACCTCCTCTTCCTCTTCCTCTTCCTGAGCTGAGACCTGACTAAAAAGCACTTTCGTTCCTGTATCACCACTGACACGGTTGATCAAGGTTGCTTTTGTGCTACTCTCGTAGGCGTAAAAGCCCGAAAAGAGCATAGGATAGAACCAAATGTTAGTACAGACCCGATGCCCTTTGCTCACGTCTTGCTTTGGTTCCTGTTGTATATTCGACTCCGCAAGTACCTACTCTGAGCTTGAATCGAACTAATCAATCAATCATCACAGATCACAAACGAACCGAAAATAAACTTAGCAGGAGTCAATTGAGAACCGGACTCACTGCCGTCATTACCTTCTCTTTCAACCAGCTGCCGCCGTTGCAAAACCCAATCGGCCTATCTTGGTAGTTGTATCAACGGCTGCTTCCTCTCTTCTTCCTTGGTACGAAGATCATGAGGGCCATCAAACTCCCAATAATGGTACCTTGGGCAGCACCCCCAAGGCCTTGGCGTCCTTCCCAGCCCCTGGACAATTATTGTCTTCCTCTGAAACCAGATGATGGCCCAGATCAAGTCACCTCCAACTATTGTGGTATTGTGGCCGATTTTGTGACAAACTTGTTGCGGTTGGTAGCATCGCGCTGACTCGGCCGTCGGCTGTCTCGTAAGTTTCCATTCCATCTCCTTGTCCCGGTAGCTTTCTTAACTGGGCACTGTCATGTGGTCGAAGATGACGGCTAAGCGTTCTTCTTGCTATAGTTTCTTTTGACAAACAGCCAATCCGGGACCAAATTTGTGACGTCGGACCCTTGATTGGGCGTATGCGCAAGGCGAATGAATTGGACGTTATACAGATCGAAACATCCGTCCCCATGCAGAAGATCAAAGCGGCCAATCAAACACCAGCTTTGGGACACTGCTCTGTTCTCAATAAAAAGGGCGCAAGGCAGACGCGGCTCGCTAGACAGATCAGACCGATATCGATGAGCAATACAGATGAGAACACTATCCACGGGAAGATCAATCGCTCTTTATTATAGTCGAGTCATCCGAACTCGGCTTCCCGCCCTTGTCGGGATATACATATTGTACTTGGGCCCCTATTTCATATCGACCAGCACATCATCCTTCCCCAAGAGTTTTGCCATTGGGTCATGCGTTGCCGTTCTCTTCTTCCGATACTCGTCCATCTCTGCCTCTGTGATCCCATTCATCATTTCCTCTCGCGTACGCTTGGATGCTGTCTTGCTTGGCTCATCTTGCTGCTTCTCATTATCATTCTTTATTTCCGCTTCTTCGCGGTTCTCCTCCGGCGCCCCGTTTAGCCCGACACCCATCTTCTGTCGCTCTGCGGCTTCCCACGCTTGCTTGCCCTCCTCACCAGTGCAATAGCTGTTCTTCACGGTTGAGTGGCAGCACGCGAAGCCCCACTTGAAGTTGAACCACCAGCTTCCCCAAACCGAGGTATGATTGTTGACCATGACATCTTCGGCGTACTTGGAACTAACCTTTTTCCTAGGTTGCCCCTTGATTAACCCGGTTTCATCATACTCGACAAAAACTTCTGACTCAGTCACAGTCATGTTCCGCAATGCCGCAGGCAAGGGCTTCTGGTCCGCGCTGCCATACTTGTCCATCAGCATTTTCTCCTTTTCCAACCGCTTCTTCTCAGCCTCCTCAGCGGCTTTCTTGCGGTAGAATTCACCCGCCGTTGGGTTGGCTTGCAGATGCAGGGCTGTGTTGCCAGAAGTTTCTTGCGTCTCCCACGCAAGTCTCTGTGCCTTCTCCATCTCGCCGGCGTCACCAGAAGAGCGCTGGAATCCCTCTTCGGCAAATAGCTCCGATGCCTTGTCCTTCATAGCGCCGCCATCCACCAGCGTTCTCGTTTTCGGGTCGTATTTGGCTGACTCAAGATCAAGATTGAGCAAGTACTTGGCCGTGTCCTCGCGGATACGAAGCTGGCGCGTTGCCGTGCTTTGATGCTTGCTCATGTCGTTTGTCTCGGCGTATTTGTCGCCCTCGTCATCTTGTTCTTCGTCGTCGTCATCTTCGCCATCGGGTTTCGCTAATCGTTTGGCCTGTTTCCGAAGCGCCTCCATCTGCTGGTAGTCTTCAACCACCTTGCGGTACTCTCTGGCATCGTAGCCATTCCACCGGTCGCGTTTGGCGTCCCAGCCGAGATTGACATCCTGGATGACCTCGTCTGCCTGGATATTCTTGCCTGTCCACTTGGCACCCTTGGCCCTCGGTCGGCTCAAGCAGTCTTTTGCCTTGTGTGTCATGGCACCGCAGTTTTCGCATGCGCCCTTACGGTATTTAGTCGCTGCAGGGCCTGCCTTGCGACCTCGGTCGTACCATGCTTTGCTCTCTTCTTTTTCCTCTTTGCGCTGATGCTTGAGGTAGTCGTTGTCGTTGTCGTCTCCATCCGCAGCGTAGAAGGGGCGCTTGCTGATGAAGGACGGGATGTATTCGTTTTGCTCTTTGGCGGCCGCGCCGGCCTGCGGCTTGCTAGTAGGAGGCGCCATGTTCAAACAGGCCTGTTTGTTGGGTTGGTAGGGTTGATGGACGGCCGCGGGTTGTTGGGAAGGCTGGTGATAGGGGTTCGGTATCGATGGAGGATTTGGCACGACTCGACGGAGTTCCACAATCAAGCGCGCGCGCTCTTTGCAATGCTGATGGGCAAGGATCAACAGGACGCCAAGCGTGCTCAGATGGATTCACAACTATAACGGTTCGAACCAACAGCTGAGTATAGTGCCAGCGCTGGCACCGACGGTCGATCGAACTCGGATGGCAAAGCTGGTGGCGAAGGGCAGGACTCGAGGACTTGTTCGCGTGCTCTCGTAAGCAGGCATCAGTGGGGGGTTCGAGGCCCGTGCAATTGTTGGTGCATGCTCTGGGAAGCAAGCAAGCGTCGATAAGCTGGCCCAAACTGGTGGAAGCTCTGGCGGAGGAGCATGAATTGCGAGTCGAGGATAACAGGCTCCGTGACATCAAAAAAGTATGCGCCTGCAGACTCACGGGGATGATCCCCGTGGACCCACTCATGCGACAGCGTGCCTTCCCTGACAGCGGGTGGCTCGGTTGATGCCTGAGGCGGCAGTGCAGAAGCTTCACGCAGGAGCTCCAGCGGCTGCGAGTGCCTGACATCAGGGAAGGGCCCACCAGCGATCCGTACCCACGGCGACCGGCCGCCACGCCACTAGACGAACAGTTCTCTGGCCAAGGCAGTTGCATTGCCATTCGATTCGTCAGGAGCTTACGACGTTCAAGGTCTAATATTCACTCTCTCCGTCATTGTTCAAAGCTCCAACTCTTCCAAAGACCAACCATCTTCCATCCGTCGAGCTTGCCGCACGCTCAACACAGACCTCCAGAGCTGCGCCTCCGGAAGCTCCATCGCTGGGGTGTGTCATCATCTTGCAGACTGCGACACATCCTAAGAATCAACGCCGCCCCTCCACGCGACAACCTCCTTAGCCACGGCCACAGCACTCACAAGTCACCATGTCTATTCGTGGGGGTGATGGCGGCAAGTGAGTTTCTTCCTCCTCCAGCTTTGCCATCTCTGTCCTCCGTTACACCCCTAATTCTGACTCTCCCTAACAGGACCGACCAAGATCTTGCCATCAACATCCGAAAGGCGACGAACAGCGACGAAATCTCCCCCAAGCGAAAGCATGTGCGCGCATGCATTGTATACACATGGGACCACAAGTCCTCCCAGGCTTTTTGGGCTGGCATAAAAGTGTGAGTTCTTTGCTGCCGGAGATCGCGACTGTCGCAGCTCCCCTTTTCCCAGCAGCTCTCTGTTGCTATGTCTCTTCTTCGCTTGCGATAGCTCTCCAGTATCATAGCTCTTGGCTTCTGGAGCTCCCATTTTGCCGTGGCTCTCTGCTAGTACATTGGCCCGAGAAGGCTAACACGAACATATAGGCAACCCATCATGGCCGACGAGGTGCAGACCTTCAAAGCGTTGATCACCATCCACAAAGTTCTACAAGAAGGGCATGTCGTGGCGCTCAGGGAGGCAATGGCCAACCGCAACTGGATCGACAGCTTGCAGCGTGGCATGACCGGAGAGGGCGTTCGTGGTTACGGTCCCTTGATCCACGAATACGTCTACTTTATTCTAGCCAAGCTCTCCTTCCACCATTCCCACCCCGAGTTCAACGGAACTTTCGAATACGAAGAGTATATCAGCTTGAAGGCTATCAACGACCCCAACGAGGGATACGAGACCATCACTGATCTCATGGCTCTGCAAGACAAAATCGAACAATTCCAAAAACTCATCTTCTCCCATTTCAGACATGTCGGAAACAACGAATGCCGCATCGCCGCCCTTGTCCCTCTTGTTCAGGAAAGCTACGGAATCTACAAGTTCATTACCAGCATGCTGAGGGCTATGCACTCAAGTAAGATACCAGTTCTAGTTTCCGTTATTGCCTATAGTTGCCCCAGCTGCTCCTTCCTATCCTGCCTTGCTCTACTCCTTCCCGCCCCTCCTCTCTATGGCCATTCTCTTCTCCTCGTATTCCTTACCTAACTCGTATTTTCTCAGTTACCGGCGATGACGATGCCCTTGAGCCTCTTCGAGAGCGTTACGGCGCCCAGCACTACCGGCTGGTCAAATTCTATTACGAGTGTTCCAATCTACGATACCTCACTAGCCTTATTACGATCCCGAAGCTGCCACAAGAACCTCCTAATTTGCTAGCCGAGGACGAGAATGCTCCAGCCCTTCCGGCTCGACCCAAGCAAGAGATTGAGCGTCGCCCGACACCGCCCGCCCAACCGAAGCACGAAGAACCCGATCAAATTTCCGAGTTCTGGCAAAATGAAGTGGAGCGCCAAAACCGCGAGTATGAAGAGCAGCAACGCATCCTCGAGGAGAGACAGCAACAGGCTCTTCTGGCCCAGCAGCAGGCTCAACTTCAGGCACAGCGAGATTTCGAAGAACAGCAACGACGTCTAGCCGAACAGCAGCAACGTGAGCAGGAGGCGCTCCTGGCACAGCAGGCGCAGTGGCAAACACAGGGTCGTTTGGCTGAGCTCGAGCGGGAGAACCTCAACGCCCGTGCCCAATACGAGCGTGATCAGTTGATGCTGCAACAGTATGATCAGCGCGTAAAGGCACTGGAGGGAGAGCTTGCACATCTCCAGAACAGTGTGGGAGCCCAGATGCAGAGCCGTGACGATCAGATCAAGGCCTTGCAAGAACAGGTCAACACGTGGCGCACAAAGTACGAGTCCCTGGCGAAACTCTACTCGCAACTGCGCCAAGAGCATCTTGATCTGCTGCAAAAGTTCAAGACGGTCCAGCTCAAGGCTGCCAGTGCGCAGGAGGCCATTGACAAGCGTGAGAAACTGGAGCGCGAGATCAAGACCAAGAACCTGGAATTGGCGAACATGATCCGCGAGAGGGACCGCGCACTTCACGACAAGGACCGAGCTAGCGGCAGCAGCAAAGATGAGGTTGAGAAGCTCAAGCGCGAACTCCGCATGGCAAACGACCGTGCCGACAATCTAGAGCGAAGCAAGGGCAACGAACTCTCTACCATGCTCGCCAAGTACAACCGCGAGATGGCCGATCTTGAGGAAGCCTTGCGCAACAAGTCCAAGGCCCTCGAGGATGCTCAGTCCAACGTGAGAGACGGAAACTCTGATTTGGAGCAACTCCTTCGCGACAAGGAGGAGGAGCTTGAGGTCTACAAAGCAGGCATGGATCAGACACTTCTCGAGCTCAACGATCTCAGGCAGAATCAGGGAGTTAGCGACAGCGCCCTCGACGGGCAAATCGATGCGCTCATTCTGGCCAACCTGGACAAGATCAACGATATTATTGACTCTGTGCTTCAAGCAGGAGTTTCTCGCGTTGATGACGCCCTGTATGAAATGGACTCAACCATGCAGGCAGGTAACCAGAACGCCTCTCCTTCCTACGTGCTGTCCCAGATCGAGAAGGCATCAGCAAGTGCCATGGAATTTGCCACGGCATTCAACAACTTCATCGCAGACGGCCCCAACAGTACTCATGCGGAGCTTATCAAGTCCATCAACGTTTTCTCCGGCGCCGTCGCCGATGTCTGTGGCAACACCAAGGGGTTGAGCCGCCTAGCCACCGACGACAAGGGCACCGATTCATTGATGGGCGGCGCGAGACAGTCCGCGCTCTCGACGATCCAGTTCTTCCGCGGATTGCAGAGCTTCCGGCTTGAGGGAATGGACCCCCTGCAAAAGACAGATGTCGTTATCAACAGTAACAATGACGTCCAGATGAACTTGCAGAAGCTGAACAAGCTGGTCGAGGCGTTTGCGCCAGGATTCGGCAAGCTCACCAACAACAAGGGGGATCTTGGCGACCTGGTGGACTCTGAACTCAGCAAGGCAGCTGATGCCATTGCTGCAGCGGCAGCTCGGTTGGCGAAGCTGAAGAACAAGCCTCGTGACGGGTACTCAACCTACGAGCTCAAGGTCCACGACTCAATCCTGGATGCTGCAACTGCCATCACCAATGCTATCACACAGCTGATCAAGGCTGCAACTGCTACCCAGCAGGAGATTGTCCAGGCTGGTCGTGGGTCATCGTCGCGCACGGCCTTCTACAAGAAGAACAACCGGTGGACAGAAGGACTCATCTCCGCTGCTAAGGCGGTCGCTTCGTCCACCAACACGCTCATCGAGACGGCGGATGGTGTCCTCTCGAACCGAAACAGCCCAGAACAGCTCATCGTGGCGTCCAACGATGTTGCTGCTTCAACAGCACAGCTGGTGGCAGCAAGCCGTGTCAAGGCTGGGTTCATGTCCAAGAGCCAGGAGAAGCTGGAGCAGGCCAGCAAGGCCGTCGGCGCTGCCTGCAGAGCGCTTGTCCGACAGGTGCAGAACATGATCAAGGAGCGCAACCAAGGAGAGGACGAGGTAGATTACTCCAAGTTGGGAGCCCACGAGTTCAAGGTCCGCGAGATGGAACAGCAGGTACGTTTACTTCAATTCTGTCCTATTTCTCTTCACTCTTCCTCTACTCAACAATCATTCCTCCCCCAACCCTTCACGATACTTTTGTCTTACCCTAGACCGATCCTGTTGCCCAAGGAAAAGTATTCCATCTCGCTCCCCCAATTGTTTTCAACTACCCTACAGCACTAGCCGCTTCCCCTCCCCGAAAGCTTCCCCCCCCCCCAAACGTACAGACACATCATTCAGCCCATCTTGCGGTGACGATGGCCCCCCTCCCCCTCCATCTCTCTGCCTCTCTAGTTCGGGTCAAAGCTACTTAGGCTCCCCACGTTTGCCAACCAATTGGAGTCCTTTGGGATGGCTACTAGTGTCGGACCTGAGATATGGCATTGCGGAGGAAACACGTGCTTGTGGTATACGCTTGTTATGCTTCATGAGCGGAGTGGCGATTGCCCTTCCCCTCCAGGGATCCGCACATCGAGTGTGACTGCACTACTAGTGCCCACACCCCAATCTGAACAATGTACGAAGAGGAACTAACGATAGTTGATTTGCTTCTTCAGGTCGAAATTCTTCAGCTCGAGAACGCACTGGCCTCTGCGAGACATCGTTTGGGTGAGATGCGGAAGATCTCATACCAAGAAGAGTAATTGGCCAAGGTATGGGCATTGGGCAGACGGTGCAAGCGACGAATGGCAATCAATACCACATCACTCGACCATCTTCCGTGTCTTGGCTCAATGGCAGATTGGCTGTTTGCAACGGTCTCCACACATGGTGCCTCCCTTCCAGTTCACAGTGCGGATTTCGGACAGCCTTTCTCCCTCGAGGCATCTGGAAAGGTCGCGACCTTGTACCAGTGACAACAACAACTTTGTATCTATTCTGTGGGAGATTTTCGTCTCCATGTCTATCTTCCTGGGAGCGAGCGGTAGCATGCATGCATCTAAGTTGGGGGCACTTGTTTTTCATTAGACGGGAAGCAGGAAAAGCAAGACAACATCCTGGGACGTATCTACGTGTCTGCTTTGGTCTGGATCGTTTGGAAGCTTGCTACCATTTCCCCCTATCCTTATCTGCGGTTGCCTATGGTTCGCAATCTCTTTTTTTGTTTTAATCTAACTTGACAGTATCATCCTTATTCTCAAGTCCCAATGCCCAATTTTCCCCCAATTTCTAGGTCTTCACCTCCCTTCATCGACATTCATGAGAAAGCTCGCCTTTTCCCGTGTCCCGCTTTTTCATGGTACCTGTCGCGAACAAATGAGGGGAGGAGACACACATCAACTTACGCGATAACAACTAGACCCAATCCATGATTGTGACATGGCGATGTGATAACTCAGACATTCCCAGTGCTCTTCGTTCCTTTTTTCCTTTATTTGGTCCTTGCCCAGGGGGAAAGGGAGGGGGCGTGCGTTCAGGCGGTTGATGTGTCGGTATGCTGGTTCAAGAAGTCGAAGTGTTGCACCGAGAAAACCGCCCGACCGACTTGAAAGGTGGTCCCTGTCTGGCAATCCCGGCCCTCGTGTATGTACATGCCTGCGTCAAGTATGCAGAGGATTGCGATGGGCAGTGTCTAGGTCTCAGGGCAGGCAAGGCGTTCTATGTTTGGACCAACCAGGTGAGAGGGTTGAGCAGGCGCTTGCGACCAACAGACATCTAGATGCGCCACATTACGGAAGATCCTTGCTGTTTGCGCTAATTTAAATTGAGAAGGGAAAAGCAAAGAACGGAGTTTGAACCAACGAGAAGCAAAAGCAAAACACGGCGCGGGCGAGCTGGATCATGAGACTGGAAGTGACGCAGGATGCGATATGTGCCAAGTCCAAAGCGCAATGACTAAATCAGACATCAGCAGCACCGAGATGCGTGTGGGGTCGGGCCTCTTTGCTTCGGCTCTCACGTCTGGGGCTGTCAAATCACCAAGTCGGTTGAAGGTCTAACGCCACCGGGGACCCCAATACTGGCCAGTAGTGCGAGCGGAGATGAAGGGTCTCTCCCTCTAGGCCTGGAGGCGGGCTGGGTCGGGTTTCTTTGCGCATACACGACGATGGGGTCACAAAATCGGTGTAGCTGCATGTCAAAGACGCGATACTTGGCTAGGTATCCCGTTACGTGAAAAGTATCTGATCATCGCGGCCGCGCCGCGGAGATGTGACGATCGAGGAGAGTCACATCCAGAATCAAGTTTTATCACCAAGACACGATGACCAGTCACCACAATCTGCGAAGCTATCATATGCAAGGCTTTCCCAATCTTCTTAGGCACATGCTCACCGCAGGAGGAGGAGCAAGCAGAAACTCAGATAACAGCAATGCAAGCAGCAGGCGAAGGCGGCTGCAACTGGTACTGGTCAGTGTTGTAGGGTAGGGTTGGGGTCGGGGGATTTATGGCGCGCTAATGTGTGTGAGACTGCGACAGTGTTGTGCGAAAACGACATAGCAGCCGACCAACACGGGCGGGGCTCCAGGGACCAGGGTGCTGCATCGTAACCTTTCACATTTCCAGGTGGTGGAATGGCTGGCTGGACTGCAACAGGTCTCGCGTACCATGCCAATTGACCAGAGGAAACTACTTTGGAAGGAGGTATCGCTGCATGGATGAGACATTGCAGTCAGAAAGTATCCCATGATGCTAGTTGGGTTCCAATCCACGAATTTGCCCTCCACCAGCAGGCTCTAGCCATATCCTTGACCGAATTGACATTTTAGTGGAACCCACTCAGGCCTGTTGCTCAACCAGGTTGAAGCTGGGCCCACCATTTGGTTTGTCTATGGTCGGCGCAGGGTGCAGCAGCCCCAGAGCCACCACCTGGCTCGGCTCATCGGGATTTGCGACGATTTCCACGGCGGCCCCCGTCCAGACCTCCACACAGGCGGGAAGCCAGTAGCGTAAAACGGGAGCAGCAACAAAAGGAAAAGGGCAGAAGGGGGTTCTCAGCATGGAGGGCAGAGCGGAAAGAGGGGGTCCAAGACTGTCGGAGATTGCCTACACAGCCTGCGGAAATCGCGCGTTAGCCAGCAATTAATCAAATGCCAGCACACCCTTTGACTCTGGGTGAGACACTCAGCCGCCAGTGATTGGCTGGCCGATCGGCTGCTGATTGGTTGATTTCGCCCTTGGAACCAGACTCTCGGGTCCCAGCAAGACAGATTGGCTGGGTTTACGAGAGGAAATGGCAGGGGGAAGGGGCGAAATGGAATGTAAACGAGGCGAAGCACATATGCGGTTGCGTCGAATATGCAGGAAGTCCACCAACAAAGTCAGACACCGCTCCAAGCGAAGTGGCTCCCCGATAAGACGCAATCTTAGCCTCACTAGCGGCAGCTAATGACCAACAGTCTACGAGACCACGAGGGCCTCTGGGGCGTCCTGTGCATGCATTGCACAGTGGTCTGGGTGTCGGCCGCAGATCAGACGGGACCGGTATGGAAGCACTCGACTCCTTGGTCGGTCGGTCAGCCAGAAAGAGCGGACGCAGCTAAGAGACACGGCACGTAGCGCCTTGGTACCCCTCTTCTTGCGCGCGCACTCACGTCCAAGCGAGCACACACATTCTCGCTGTTGTCTCTCTCGCCCACACACACGGAAACCCAGGAGGCTTGGAGCGACGGTGGGAAGGTTATGCTGCTTGGCTTGTGGGCTGGCGTCCACGTACCAGGAACTTCCAGATTGGGCCAAGGGGTCGGCCACCTTTTCCCCACGGCCAGCTAAAATTGCGTAGGACGTTCCACAGCCTGTCAACAGGGGACGAGCCCTACGGGCACGACCTGCCTACCCACTTGGCACATACAGTGGCTCTGTGTCACCAGTTGGTCCAGGGCAGACGGGCTGTGCTACCTTGGCTAACTGACGGGGAGGACCGGGATCTTGAGAGCGACCGGGGTCAGAGGGTCAGCGGGCATCTGGGAAATCTTGCACCATTCTAGGCTGCGCAGCACTACGCGTAGGGCATAGCGGCATCGCATATCGCAGATGCCAAGGAGCGTCATAGCTTTTAGCGCATGCCTGGGCTTGGAGGCGCCACAAAACATACATTGCACTCTTCCAGCACCGAGCCCGGGCTTCTTTTCTTTTTCGGAGCAGGCTAGGCTCATGTTGGTACGTTTTGGGTGATGCTGGGAGGGTCAGGGGTCCAAGGTGACTCGCCCGTGCAGCCAGCGTGCAAGGTGCACCCGCTCGAGGCAGTTGGTGCTTATGTCCGGATTGGACAAATTTATCAGATCATCACATCCGTCGTATCATGCATTCCTACACCATACATGGGCGAGCACGCAACCTAATTAGATTTTTCTGGGACTGCTGACGTGGAAGAGACAAGACGCCGACCCAGGGCTGAGAGAGGAATCAAGCCTTGCCAGGACAGGGTGGTTAATCTCCTCTCGATTGATTAACATGCTTGAGACAGGGTCTAATGTGGCCGACGCAGCGCAAGCACACCACCAGCACTGGTACCCCTACGTAATTTGAGCATGGCTGGAATCCATACTCTGGAAATGGCTATCGGAGATTTTGCGCTAACGGCTGGGGCTGGGTGCGCCGCCGCTGGCCCGTGCGCGATTTGGGTGGGCTGCCCACCCGTCTTCAGCCTCTGAGTCTACTGCTGTCGGCCTGCATGGCTATCGCACGCAGCTGTTCGCCCTCTGCCCTCGACCCTCGAAATTCTTGTGGCACACCGGCCTGAGTAGCAGCAGCCGTTGACCATCTCGTGACTCCACCTGCCCCAGCAACCAGCCTCTTGTTGGCCCAAGCAACGATGGTCGTCTTCGCCTCTCCACTTTTCGGCAGTCGAGAGCAAACGACCTGACGTATGCTCTCGCCCGAGTAAACAAGCCCTCTCCAGCCTGCGCTACCGGGTGGTGGAGGGCTTGCTGCGTGTAGTATAGCACTCCCACCATGTTTTCAGGCCCCGATACCCCTGTCGATGCGCTTGTATGAGCTGAGTCTAGCACTGTAGCAACTTTGGCATTTGCAAGACCTCTCTAGCCTTGCCCAACTCCACCAGCGAAACGTTAATCTTGACGTCGACCGCTAGCAGGGCCTGGGGTCATGGAGTCAATTCAATCCGCCGACCCAATTGGAAGTGGCTGGCTGCTTTGGGCATCACGCAGCACCCTGGCTGCACGCCTCTCACCCTGACTTCACCTCACCTCACTTGCGTCTCACTTTCTGCTCTACTTGCGCTCACATGCATTGATGGTCTATTGAATGACTCTTGCTCAACAAATTGAGGGCGACCAGTGGCTGGGGCCCCCACACGCTCTTTCTGCAGCTGCGTTCCCCGCGTGTGATTGGCCGCAGAGCAGTCTGATCACCCCTCTACCCACGGCAGATGTACCCTCGCGCCCTGCAAAAAGCCGACCAGGCTCGTTCCCCCCCACCATGTCTTGGGCGTTATGCCAAAAACGGCTCCGCCCTATCTAGCCGCCAAGTGTTGATCCGACCGCACATGCTTCTGTAGGATAGTAATAGCACCAGGATAACCATCCAGAATTTCGTCACACCAGAATAGACTCGTAGACTAGGGCCCGGCTTGGGGAGCAGGACAGGAATCCTGCTTTGAGCTCCGTTGGCCGCTTGGGGCCCCAAAGTTGCGGTGTCGCACTCCGCCCAGCTGAAATATTACTTGCTGCATGTTTCTTTGCGTCTGTCGGTAACCAATCGCCAGCCCCATGCTCTGATCCCTGAACCCAAAAGTCCCTGCTCGTACTTTCCTGCATGTCTCATTAATTCTCTCAGCTCGAGGAAGGGGAGGGGAGGCGGCCCTCGCTGTGTGTCGGGCGCGCCAGCTCTCGCGAGTTCGCTTGGGATCAATTGTGTCTTTGCTCGAGGGGGAGGAGGCTTCAAAGTGTTTCAAAGTAAACCTGCGATTTATTGGAGTCGAGTACCTATTGGGGACTAGTTTTAGAAGCTACCTAGTTCTCATTCATTCCCTTCATTCATTTCTCGAATTCGATGCTAAAGTCCGTTGCCCGAGCCTGTTGCCAAAGTCCATGATTCAAATCCATTGCCAAGGGCCAGGTGAATCACCAATGGACCTCTCGCATCTGAAATAGACGATTGTCCTGTACTCCCAACTGAAAAAGAGCAAAACCCAAATCCTAATATTGAAATTCGTCCTCGTTGTCAGAGATTTCGTAGCCGCCGTAGAACATAGAGTGGAACTCCTCTGTTGAACCAAAGGAGAGGCATTGGGTGAGTCCAGCGACTGAGGCAGTGTTAAGACTTAGAATGAAGAACTCAATGACGGAAAGGCGTGGTTGACTTACTTTGAACTCAAAGTCTGAGGATTACTGTGGGTTGTACCCATTGTTGAATCCATTGCCAAACAATTGATCCCAATCCCCATTGGCTGGGTAGTCCTCTCGTGAGGGCGAGGTGAACGTCGTGGTGTTCTCAGTATTCTCACTCATCTGGGGGAGGTGGTTCCCATGCATTGGCCAGTTGTTTCCAGTCGCAGAAGGGGGTGGTGCAACAGACATCGGAGATTGCTGAACGCCGTTTTGTTGGCTTGTTCCAGAAATAGCCGGCTGGGCATTGGTATGGCCCATGATAGGGAGAGGGCCAAAACTTTGGCCATAATGGGAGGGGGCGGGCATCGGGGCTGATGTACCACTAATGTTCTGGGGCACCGCATAGTTTGGGGGACCAGCAATGGAGACTCCATGTCCAAACTGGCCATGGACTTGCGTTGGCTGATGCTGAGGTGCGAGGGTCGTTGGCACGAATGCTGGGATTTGCTGAGGATTTCCGGTTTGAGCAACGGCTGGGAACAGTTAGCTTTGAATACTTCGAATTCTAAGATTTCACTCACGAGGGGGCATATCATAGATAAAATCCTTGCAGTTGTCACGAATCTCTTCTTCGGTTGAGCAAGGGCGAAGAGTGTAGTAGACGGAGCCCTCTCCTTCGCCCATTGTATAGACGAAGCGGAATGAGCCTTCAGATTCAGGTTCGACAGCCCAGCGGCCACCAGGACGTGGCTCAAGTGCTTTCAGGGCAGCCTTTGGGATCGCAGTAACCAAACGCGGGCCTGGAGGAGGCCCATAGGCGGCAGCGGATGATGAAGGGGCTGACATGTCTGTAGAGTGGTGCAGGAGAGTTTGTTTTGAGGGTATGTAAAGTTGGTTTTTTTTTTGGTTTGAAAGATGTGTGTGTTTGTAGAAGGAGGTGAGGAGGTAAGAGGCGGGAGGCGATCAAATTATAGAACTAAGGAGAAGAGAGGTCACGATTGGAAAAGAGAAGAGATGGAGGAGAGAAAGTAAGGTAGTGGATTTGTGTGGTGAGGGGGTGGAGCTATGAGTGTGTACATAGTACTGAGGTACTCAGGGAGCAAGCCTGTCACATCTTCCTCACCTTCAACTGACATGCAACTGTGAGGTAACATGTACCGGCGCTGGTACTTGACATGGCTTTTATTAGGCGGGGTAGCCGAAACGGTGTCGCCCCTTGTCGAGCTCGATGCTAAGGTTTGATGTAGAGCTGGTAAAGCTAGTTAGTAACCGCTAAATCTTTGGTCCACAGAAGCTGAATATTGAACTTCCTTTTCGATGGATTGAGAGATTCTCGAACATCAAAGCGAATGATGAGTATGGTTTGGCGCCAGCTTAGTCTGCCACTGACCTAATGTAATTGGCAGTTTTGGTAGGGTGTGATCAATTTCTGATCATGAGCCTCTCTCTACTTGGAGATAAAAGTGCCTGTCCCCATTTTGGTCAATATCTAGGTAGGTACCTACTGTAATACTGGGAAGATATCTTTTACTTTGCCTCTACTGCGTCTGCCCCTTTTGCTTCCAATAGTGAAAATCACTGGCACTGGCACTGGCAGCGAAGAGATTGAATTTTAGTTTAAGATCGAACTATGTCTAGCTTTGGAAATTCACACATTGCTTTCATGAATGGGGCCATTCGAAATATTCATCGTGAAATACCAACGAGCAGCTTTTGGATGAGCGCGCACAGATCAAAATGAAATCACCATCCTATAAGAATTTACTTCACTGGAAGTCTGAGTATGCTCCCAGCAGACATGTATGGAATCAAAAAGAATGTTGTGGATTATACAGCCTTGGGGATCAAGCCTGCCCCGATTGCTCCCACGTCGCCGTAGCTGGGCAACCTGTTAGGCGTAGGAGACGAGGTCTGCCAGCTGGCAACAGTGGCAGAGGCGGTAGCATTCCACCTTAAGGTCAACTTTTGAGGGAGCACACCTGCGTAGCCAGGGCGACGGCACGTGCGTTATCAAAGTGAGGAGGAGGTGACAATTGTTGGTCTCCCTCAATAAACTCCCAGCCATTGACCTTGGTCAGCAAAAGAAAGGCTTTCCCCACCTAGCTATATATTCCCCTCCCTCCTCCTTCCCAAACTTTCTTCCCCTTCTCCTCCTTCATCACACACATTCCAATTTGAAACTCACTCTTCAATCCTCAAAACAAATTCTTTGGACTTCGCGTCATCCTTCCATATTTCCACCACAACACCAGCCAAGCTCCTGATCGTTCATCATGAACCATCAAGCTGCCACTCTCCCTTCTGGCAATTTCGGTCCCCAGGATCCGCCAAGCATGGAGGCCATCGCTACTTCTGCCTGGGTCCTGCTTGAGTCCCAGATTACGCCTTTCACTGAGGTGATGGCTATCCCTGGTGACATCTACCGCGCTATCGATGCTGGCGGCAAGAAGTTCATTGCCAGAAACTTCATGTGAGCTCCTCGCGCCCTCCAAAAACTTCCACATCTAACTTTTTCAGGTCTTACATTGGCAAGAATGTCCTCTACTGCCGTGATGGTACAGGCAATGACCGCTACTTTCTTGGCAATCCTCGCACCTTCCTTCGAGGTGGCGGCACCATCGTCTCTGTCGAGGGCACTGAGCCTTTCTGGATGATCCGCAGCAACACCACCATCATTGAGGCTGCTGCTGCTCACCTTGGAGTCGCCGTCCCTGCTCGGGAGAAGAAGATTCCCCGTCCTCCCAATGCCTACATCCTCTACCGCAAGGAGCGCCACAACATTGTCCGTGATGCCCACCCTGGCATTACCAACAATGAGATCTGTAAGTACCTCCAGTCTTAAACATGGAATATTTTCTAACAATGTACAGCCCAAGTTTTGGGTGCTGCCTGGAACGCCGAGTCGCGCGAGGTCCGACAGCAGTACAAGGAGAAGTCTGACAAGATCAAGAAGGCTCTTTACGAGCAGCACCCGGACTACCAGTACAGACCTCGTAAGCCATCCGAGAAGAAGCGACGTGGTCGCCGCACTGCTTCTACCGATGAAGAGATTGAGCACGACTCTGATGAGCTCGCCAAGCCTTCATTCGCTGATTGAGCTCTCAATCGGAGAACCAGAAAACTTCTGGTGCATGGCGACACAGCCTGCTTGGGCCTCTACTACTGGTCCATTGCATCAACTACTACCAGGTTTTGTTTTGATTTTGATTTCTTTTTTTCTTTTTGATTTTTTCTTTTCATTGAGGAAGATTCAGTTTGGTATTTGAACCAACTAATGGAGTCTGGACGGATGAGATGATATCCCATGGGAACTGGGAAGAAAACCCAATGCGCGCTCTTAGTCACTTTATTTTCTGAAATTTCAGCGACGGAAACAGGTATTCTCATTTGAATTCCAGTTGAAGTTGCGAGAAAAACTCAGATAGGATCGATTCTCAGTTAGTTACCTGGTAGTTAGTCTTACAATAAAATCATCAAGAGTGTTATACTCACCAACTGCCTGTCCAACTCACTTGAACATCCTGTGATGAATCCATTCCCGCCTCACAAAACTGGCCCAGGACCCGAGCCAAGCTCCCCCGCGCAGGGTGAGCCCAAGCTCAGCTCCAGTTCACCTCTAGCTCACTTTGCTGAGGACTCGAGGGGGACGGGGCGCCAGGCAGGAATGTGCGCGCTGGGGCTCGATCACCGTCCCAAACCCCGCACCCGCCGCGATCGTCGACTACCTAGATCCCCGAGGGCGAAAACGGAAGCACCCTGGAAGCCCAAGAGAAAAAAGCAACTTCCTGGCTAACGCGAGAGGTGTGTGGGAGGCAGGGGTTTCGGACGTGGACGGCATGTCCGAGGGAGAGAAGAGACAAGATACAAGATACAGATGCATGCTTCGCTGGCTTTACGTGTGACACACTTTAATGCAGACGGCCGATTTTGATTCAGACTTACTCTGACCGCATGAAAGTCTAGTCTGAGCTACCTGGCATTGAGACATTCCTCCTCCAGTCACTACTCCAGATGAACGTTCCACACCTCCACTCTGTGTCCTTCTCCTTCTCCCCACTTGGCCCAAGCGGACGCGGGCACATATAGAACGATCTCCCTGTTGGTGATAGGTTAGCACGTGTGGTATAGGTAGACTCGATATTGGGGGTGGGAGGATAAGTGTGGGCAAGATGGAGGGGAGTGCGTGATGGCTGCAAAGCGAAACAGGGAAGGGGGGGGAACAAGGACCAAGGTACCAGGGGAACAAGTCTCGAAGGGAAAGATGCGCCTTACCGCAATTAACGCCGGGCTTCTTGGTCACAAGGCTGATGCATGGCTCGTCGTGGTCGCACCGGGGCACGACCCGCTTGCCCAGCAGCTTTGACCACGACTCCTTTGCCTCGATTGGGTCGTATACTCTTTCGGGCGATGGCTTGGCCGAGTCGAGCTGAGATGGCTCGGGCGTTTTCTCAGAATCGTCCTTGGGTAAGGTCTCAAGTGATGGTGGTGAGACTACTGACTTGGCGCTGGGACTATGAGCCTCCTCCTTTGTTATTGATGCTGGAGGTGGCTGGGCGGCCGCGATGGACTCAGCGCTGGACTGTTCCGCGCTCGCCTGGGCTTTATCGCTGCTAGGCACTTTGAAGAAACCTGCCAACGTCATTTGACCAGAACCTGACTTGCTCTTCGAGGTGGCGCTGCCCCCCGAGGCTAGCTTGGGGCGTTTGGATTTCGCCAGCACGTTGGGATCTCCCACTTTCCGCTTTGGCATGGAAGTTTCCACGGTATCCTTCTTTCCCATAGCGTTTTGGGAAAGTTCTCCTTTCCGCTCGGCTTCTTCTGTGTTGATGGCGCCTGGGCCTTCGGAGCCAAGACTTGGCAAGTTTAGCGAGTCTGGCTGAGGATTGCGGTCGACGCCGCCGCTCTCGCTTGACGAGCCTTGTTCGCTCAGCTCAAGGGCGGCGAAACTGGCGACCTGAGCCCGTTGCCGGGAAAACATGTCTCGAATACTTCGTCTGCGGTCGAACTCGGGGATCAACCTGGCGGAGAGTGGCAGCACGTCACTCACGGCCCAGTTCCGTTGGCGTTTTCCCTTGACGAACATGCCAGGCGGGTTCACGATGTCATGAACGAACTCACGCTCCCCATTGATTGTACGGTCAAAGGACATCTTGAAGAACACGGGGCAGTGGTCAGATCCCATGAGTCCTTCTTGGATGTCGGCATACTCGACCCATTCTTTGACGCCGTTGGTGCAGAGAACGTAGTCAATGCGGCTGCCAAAGTTGGCTGGCCGAGTGTTCTTCTTGGTGTCCCAGCATGTGTTCATCCCTTTTCTGTTTGGGTGGAACATTCTGCAGAGATCTGTCAGGACGGGGTGCTCACGGCCTTCATCACGCTTCCCGTTGACATGACCCCCATGAATGAGTTGGTTGAACACTCGGCGAGTGGGCGCCTCGAGCCACTCGTCGAGACTGATGCCTTCTCTCTCAAGCATTTCAGGGGTTCTGCTGGTATCGATGGGAGCCCCAACGATATTCAGGTCACCCACCACAACGACCTCCTTTCCGAGAGCGACGAGATTGCGTACTCTTATATCAAGTGCCTCGATAAACTCGATGCGAAAGTCATCTCGGGTCTCATCTCGATTGGCTGGGCAATACACTCCAATAAGAACGAACGCGGGAAACTCGAGAATTACACATCGACCTTCAGAGTCCAGCGTGGCTTCGTCCACCCTGCCCGTGAGTTGGCCAGGCGTTGGGTAGCCTCCGATGCGCCGCTCCTCTGGGAGGTCTCGGTAGCTTATGGTCGATCTGGGGGCAGAGATGCAGCCAGTGATGCCCTCCTCGGCGCGAATGGGTGCGCATGTGGCGTTGCGGGTGTAGATGGCTACGCCTGAGTAACCTATGCGATTACCATTAGCACGATTCGGCAACAAGTGGACGTCTGAATGCTGCTTGCAGCTTGGACATACCTTTCTTGTCTTTGGGCAGACTGAAGTAGACATCCCAGCCGGGGATTAGAACCATCTCGTCGCTCAGGTCTTTCTTCTGAATCTTGGTCTCCTGCATGATGACAATGTCGGTCTCGAGGATGTTGAACATGTACTGTTGTGCAAGCCGTCAGTCTAATTGGCCTCCGTGTGTAAGTGCGTACTCGTTCAACTAACCTCAAATGTCCGTTTGGAGCACCATGGCTGGTAGGCGAACGGATTCCTAATGAGAAATGATTCGTTAGACTTAGACGCATCGGTTGTCTTGATGGCGATTGTATTGACCTTATTCCATTTACTACGTCATGATTGTTAGACTAGCACATCCCACGACACGGAGAGAGGAGGAGTCAGTCACTCACCATTCCAAGTAGTGATTTGGAATCCCATGATGATCGATATTTCTAATTAGACAAGATGGCGCGCGTCTTCTTACTTGGGCCCAAGAGAGGACCAGAGCGTAATTACAGAGTTCTGTTCGTTGTGTGAGCTGCGACGTGCTCTAGGGTAGGGCAGCCGACAGCAGAGAAGGCTGAGTATTAATCTTTCCCAAGCTCTGGGACAGAAGGATGAAGCATCCGTAGAGCGGACCTTGGACTTGAAAACAGGGGAAATATTCTATCTCAAATGGCACGGAGGAAGAGTATAAGATGGAAGGACATGGACGTAGCACTCCCCCAACAATACCACAGTGGAGGGTATCGCTTCAGGTGCGATGCGTGTTTGGGGAGGTTTATTTCGTGGGGCCTCAGGTCTTGCGGGGGGCTGGAAGGTGCTGGCGGGGACGTAATAAGGCCTCTGCCAATCAGGTGTGCCCTGGGACTTGCTCTGAGCAGCGATATCAAGGGTGAGGCGGACCAAGTGCAGGCAGTCCAGCGGCTTGCAGGTGTGCTTCGTGACTGCTCTGCATGAGACGCGGTGCTTACTCGAGCAAGCGCTGGGTGGCACCTTGTAGCACGGGCGCCTGCTGAACGGGCGCCCTGGGGTGGCCCCCCAGGCTTATTGCGACTGCTGATCGGGGTGCGCTGGGATTGGTTCGCCAGGCTTACCAAAGCAAGAGCTCCCAGTGGCTCGTCGCGGCAGGACCGCGGTGTCACGTGGCCTCGGTCGGTCGGCCCACTTGCCTGACATACCAGGCAGCCAACAAATTTCCACAGTTTGTCCGAGGATGCAAGCTCCGGATTGTGACCTCACACCACTAATTACTACCTCGCCGTCATAACCTCCCTCGAACCTGCAACAACCGCAAAACTCTCCCCTCATTGCGCTTCTCAATCATGTTCGGTGCCCGCCAGTTCGCCCGCAGCGCCCCGCGCTTTGCTGCCCAGCTCCGCGCCCCCGCCCAGCGCCGCCTCCTCACCACCGGCGAGAACGAGTTCGTCAAGGAGCGTCAGCACATCAAGGAGCACGCCAAGGGCACCACTGGTTCGTCGATGACCCGGGACTTGATCAATTGGGCCGGAATGAGCTAACAGATGGCAGAGCTGTGGAAGAAGATCTCCATCTAGTACGTATCCTGTCAATTGGACTCAATTGACGTCCCCGTCGACATCTTGAGTGAATTTGACCCCACCCATGCCATCGGGTCCGACCGGCTCGAAATCTGTCGATAATCTTGGAGTCACCCCGGTCATATCGTGTGCGAGTCGAGAGTCGGAGAGCAGCCATTGTGCCTTGAGATATCGTGGTTCATACTTTCGGTCGGATGGAGGGCTAACATGGGTTGAAAAGTGCTGTGATCCCCGCCCTCGGCCTCGCTGGCGCCAACGCCTGGTACCTCTGGAACGCCCATTGGGACCACTGGAACCACCTCCCTCCTCTGGAGGAGCGCACCGAGTACCCCTACCAGAACATCCGCAGCAAGAACTACCAGTGGGGTGAAGGTGACAAGGTGAGTCTTGAAATTGAAATTTTGTGATATGCTGAGCTTGGCTGACCTTTTGACAACAGACCCTTTTGTAAGTTGATACCGCCTGACCAAGACCCATCTCCTGCGATCGAAGCCTGCCGAACGAATGCCGAACGAGTGTGGTGCTGGATGAAGAGCGTGAGCTAACAAGTTGGAATAGCTGGAACGAGAGCGTCAACTACCACCGCAAGGACAAGGCCTAAACTGCGCCCGG